TATATTCTACCAGCTTTTATGTATTGAATTAATGGTAACTCCTCAGCTCATTTTCATATAGGCTTTTCTGAAATGATCCAAGGCAAATTCTTAGCCTATTTTGTCATAATTGAAAGTAAAAGATTTATATATATTTTATGTCCAGTCATGTGTTTTCAGCCACGACATCCACACGACTTCGGAATCTCCTGCAGCTCTTCTGGGTGGTCTTTATGTTTAATTTGGTGAATGACGCCATAATCCTTGTCTTCAGTTCATCTTTGGTGTTAGAAAGAATTTTGTTGGTCTCTCGTTCAACCGTGCCCCACACATGTTAATCAAGGAGTTATAATCTGGGGAGTTAGATGACCAGATTTAATGGGTGATGTGATCGCAGAAATTGTCTGACATGACCGGTGTATCCTACTTGTGTGGTAGGGTGCAGAAATCTGTTGTCAGACATAGTTTCTTTCAAGAGCCACCTCACGGCACTCGATGTAGGCTTTCGTGTTAAATCAGAAACCCTGCGAGAAGATGAATGAAAGCATAACGTATCCATCACTAGTAATCACTTTATCGCCATTAGACTCATCCAACTCTTTCCGAATCCGCTGCACTGTCCTCAGATTGACACCCAAAAAGCCTGAAATGTTCGTATTGGAGATTCTAGCTGGAATGCCAAGCAATACAGCATGCGGTTTCCAAATATCTGCTTGTTTTTCTCTCAGACAGTGCCATTCTGACTTTAATATACTGTGCGAGAAAATAAAACCAGCAAACAACGAACATTGCGTGAAATTAAAAATATATAATAGCAACAATTTACCCTATGCAAACCATATATATATATATATATATATATATATATATATATATATATATATATATGATTATTTATTCGAAAATCATAACATAAATATGTTATAAAATCACTACAAATATAGACATTTTGTTTCAACACTTCTGGTTTCTTATCAAATGCGTTGAATGTAGAATAAAGTGTTTGAAAAGGTTCAAATCAATCAAACACGCCTCTCTCGGGGAAACACTGTTACATATGCTGAAATGCCCAATCAAAATACAAGTATACGAAAATTCAAAAAACTTGACAACGAACTAAGGTTATAATGATTATTTAATGGTTTAATGCTAGTTCTAACTAATAAATATTAAATTATACTTTAAAATTCGATATATGAAACATATATATAAATAAACGTAGTTTTTATAAACAGTTTTCCTCCAACCGCCCAATCATTATAAATAAACAAACTCGAAGTCATTACCGTAAATAACCCTCAAAATTAGCCCTAAACAAAGGAAACTGAGAAGGATAGTTTTTGACTTTCCCCCGAAAATGACAGATATCGACTTTATATCTATGTACATCAATCTCTCTCTCATTCTTTATATATATATATATATATATATATATATAGGTGTGTGTGTGTGTGTGTGTATGTATGTATGTATGTATTTTAAGACATATTTATGTTTATAAATTCTTTTTTATCGATACAAATATTTATAAATGCACTGTTTATAATAAACAGTATTAACAAGATTTACCGGCCTGAAAGTCCGAAACATTTTCATGGAAAATATGAGGCCACTGGCAGGTTTCGAACCTCTATCCTATACGGAACCATCATATAACCTAACATGCTTTACCGATTCAGACACAGAGGAGGCATTTCGGTTAAATCGGTAGAGCACGTAAGGCTAAATGACGGTTCCGTATAGGATACAGGTTATATATATATATATATATATATATATATATATATATATATATATATATATATATATATATATATATATATGTGTGTGTGTGTGTGTGTGTGTGTGTGTGTGTGTATGACGGGCGTGTAAGTGTGTGAATTACTTAACTTTTATATTTATTTTAATCATTTCATCCCAAGAAAGTCAATAAACCCTCAAGAATTCAAAAGGTTACCGAGTGTTAGAGAATATGAGAAAAACTACTATTAAGGAGGGAAGAAAATAAAAGAAAAATAAGAAAACTGAAGATAACGATTGAAATTTCTCTTAAATTACTGAAGAGCAAAGTTGACTGGGTAGTAAGAGGCTGGAAGAGAGTTCCACAAGTGAGAATCGCAATAGAAGAAATTATTAACATAGAACTTACGGTTACATCAAGCCATTTTAGTTTTAAATTGTTGAGACCTTGATGTCAAATTAGTAAGGCGCTTTAATTCGTAAAATGTTGCCAGAATAGTGGACAGTTCACCAGAAGAATTACCATGAAATTATTTATAGAAAAAAAAAACACGGGGAAACTACTTTACGGTGGTAGGAAAGGGACTAAAGCCGAGATGCCAGGTCAGAACCAGTATCTTTGCAGATTCTGCTTCGGATTTTGTCAAGAATCCCTAAATATATAGCAGAAACACCAGTCCAGATCTGGCAGAAATATTCAAAGGAAGGACAGATGATAGACTTTTAAATATGTAAATATAGATGACGTGCTTAAATAGTTGTATCTATAAAAAGAATGTTAAAAATAAAAATGTCTTAAAATAATTGTCGGACTTTGTCTATTTCATAATGTGTGACGTCATTTGTTTACATTTGATACGCCACGAGCAGACATGAATGTACGTGAGAGATTCATGGAAGATTGAAGTTTAAAAGCAGTAAATTCGACCTTTCTAACCGATCGATCCTCTGTGGCGAAATCGGTAAAAGCACGTCAGGCTACATGACGGTTCCGTATAGGATGCAGGTTCGAATCCTGTCGGAGGACAAATATTTTCTATAAAAATTTCTCGGACATTCAGGCCGGTAAATGTTATTTAATACTGTTTATTATAAACAGAGCATTTACTTAAATACTTGTATCTGTAAAAAGAATGTTAAAAATAAAAATGTCTTAAAATAATTGTCGGAATTAATCTATTTCATAATATATTATAAATTAATTAATTTAAAATGTGTTTTTTTCGCTACACAGTTCTAACCATGTTTCAAAAATGGAAGCTAAAAGCCCCGAATTTAATTTTGTAATTAAATTAAAGACATTAGTTCCATTTCAACCTCAAGCGAATTTTGGAGTAACTTTTAAAATTACTGGGTTTTAAATACACAGCTAAAACAAAATTCAAGTTTACAAGGTTACAGATAAATCTATTTTTCTAGACCGGGGTGTCTGGATGTTCATTATGTCCATATTTTAATGTATCAGTTATTCCTACTTTTGATAGTGGGTAGGGATGTATTTTTCAATGACATCTAACACCTGTTAAAAGTGTGTCGTCTGGATTTTTTTTTAAATTTATATTGTTAACGGCTAAAATACTTACGGCATTTTTTCTTCGTATATTTAAAGATTTCTTTTGGGAGATGTTTAGATAAGAATACTTTTTATTTAACTACGATTTGAAATATTTTTACTTTTAATTTTATTATACTATAATTCTTTTGTAAAAATAAAAATTTCTATAAGAACACCGGATTATATATCTTACTGTTCATATATATATATATATATATATATATATATATATATATATATATATATATATAGAGAGAGAGAGAGAGAGAGAGAGAGAGACAGAGATAGATATCTTTATATCACGGCGACGATGAATTAATGAAGAAGATATTTATACTATTATAGATATGATTTTATATGTGTAGTAATGACAAGACTCGCAAGTAACAATTGTCTCGTGTACAGGAGTTTAGCACGTTTGTATTTCACCAATTACCTTACGATAATTAAGAATCTGGCGATGTATTCCAGAGTGACTTTACTGAAAGAAGGACAACTAACAATATATTAAGGAGAGCCTGGCGTTCCTGCAAGGTTACTAGAAGTTTTCATCCGCGCAAGTTGGCAAGGAAGAATAATTAGCGCTTGTGTATAAGAGAGTGTGTCAACATCTGGAAACTCTGATGATCGTAGAAGCACGAATAAGAAACAATGCACCTCTCATTTTGAAACCTCAGCATTAATTGTAAACCTTCAACGTGACCTCCAAGATTTATGGGAAGAAGCGAACTGTTGATAAAGACGGGGAGGGGAGAAAGCTTTCCGTTCTAGACATGTCCCGCCAGCGAGATAAGGTCCGTGCCGGAAGTCAGCTTAATGAACTCTCTGGTCAGTGAGAGATAACAAAGCCTTGCTCGTGAATATACAGGCAAGAATGGCACATAGATGAATAGATGGGTGGGTACGCCCAAGGGAGAATGTCAAGGGACATATGGGGAATGCACGCTGCGAGGTAACGTACAGACCAATCATATAGTAATCGACATTATGCGGGTGTGAAGCGGAAATAAAGAAAGTGATTCTAAGGGTCAATAAAATGCAATTATCTTAGAATCGATTTCTTACAATTCTTTATGGGCAGAGGAAACAACGGAATGATCACGGTTGGCTTTAGGATATAGGGATTTTAGATACTCCTCCGGTTATTTTATTTTAATCGGAATCAGCTGATGAATGACAAAGGAAGTACATATCTGGAGGCATGACTACACCCAACCAGAAGCAAGTGTTCAGAAAAGATCTAAAAAAAAAATGGTGGCCTGTTTAGTAAGAGTCGTTTATATTCTTAACATGACAGTAATTCTTACGAAAATCATCTGGTTAATTGCCATATTACGGCTAATACCCAAATCTTCTGACTTATAGCGACAAAAGAGTTGTAAGAGTTATGAGCAGCGACAGAATTATAAAGGAAAATGACTTCATTTGTGGCCGACAATGGCTCTCAAAAAATCCCTCGTACCTCTTTGTAAGAATTGTCCCTTTGCAATCTTTTCCATTCCCGTTATACCATTCATTCAAAAACGCTCGTAGGTAGTCCAATGTCTTCCACTGTCATTTTTTCTTCTATATCTTCTGTATGTGTAAAATTCTTCAAGCACTTCTCCCGAAGTATGTCGCACAATGTAATGATAACGACTGCGAAGCCATGGGTAGTCCTTGTATGCGATGGAAGGCTGAATATGTTTCAGCCTCACTCTGAACCTGTTCACAAAACTTCTCGAGCTTACGGCCATATCAAGCTGAAACACTGGTTCTCGCACGTTCAAAGTAGTTAAGCAATGTCGAGCCTGGTCAGTACCTAGATGAGTGACCGCTTGCGAATATCAGGTGTTATAAGCCTGGATGATCAGATGGTGTAAGGGATAATGGCTCAGAATTGTTAATCCGAGAGCCGAGTTCCAATTCTAGTCGTATTTGTTATATTTACTTACGCGCAAATACCCTTGGCAAAAGTTTGAATCCACCTCTACTCCTTCCAGCTAAGATTTGTGTCACTAAATCAAAATTGTCACAAAAAATGCTTTTTGTGATATCAATGACCACTCGTTATACTTTTGAGATGCCAAGGAATACTCGTTTTCACTTTCGTAATTCTCGTTGTAGCAGAGATTTTATAATCGCAGATACAACTATAATAACGCTGTTGAACAATACTGGTCTCAGACGCCTTCGAATAACACTCGTACTAATAGTGCTTGCTCGATAATACTCACTCGAATAGTAATCATCGAATAGTGATCCGTATAGAAATCCGAATAGAAATATAAATTGTGATATATTCACTAACCACCCCACGCGGTCTGATGCGGCATAAGGCCAAGTTTTGTGGTGTATCCGAAAATTCCCCGTAGAACCCATAAAAACGAGCTCGAGATGCCATCTTCCCTCTCCAAATTAGACACTGCCCTTTGGAACAGCGTCCACTGGATTCCTCTCTGCCCGGAGGCAAAGGTTTGACAACACACTTTGAATTAATCCGGTTAGTGAGATATTCACCAATAAAGGTCGGATGCGGCTCAAGGCCAAGTTTATTGTGGTGTATCCGAGCCCCTAGGCCCGGCCAAAAATTCCACGTAGACCCCGTAAAAATGAGCTCGGGTTGTAGTCTACCACCCTACATGAGACTCTGCCCTTCGGCACAGCCTCGTCTGGGTTCCTCTCTGCCTGGATGCAAAGAGATTGACAATCACACTTCCGAAGTAGGTCAGTTAGTGAGATAATCACTAACCGCAACAAGGTCGGATGTGACTCAAGGCTAAGTTTATTGTGGCGTATCCGAGCACGTAGGCCCGGGCAAATATTCCCCTTTGACCCCATAAAAACGAGGTCGGATTGCTGTCTACCACCCAAAACGTGACTCTGCCCTTCGGCACAGCCTGGTCTGGGTTCCTCTCTGCCCGGAAGCAGAGAGTTTGACAAGGACACTTCCGAAGTAATCTGGATAGTGAGCACTTAGTCGCCATGCTAATTCCAATGTATACATTTTCTTTAACATCACGTGGTCTACTTATTCAAAATGGGATCGACTGTGTTTGCTCTCTGGTGATCTGTGTTCAAACGCCAGTGTCGGCAGTGACACTTTATTTCTATATAACAAATTTAATATATTTTCTCGCTTTAAATAACGTGCAAAAGGTTGGTAAAACGTCAAAAATGAAATTAATCAATTCATAAATTCTCAGATAAGTTTACGTCTAGAATGTACAATCAGTTTCAATCGCTTTTCGATTTATATACTTTAGTTGAATGATTTGCTTTTTTTACGACTTATCAACCTTAAGGTTATTTAAAGGTTGAAAATGATTTGGATTGTAAAACTTTTTTCTTTATTTATTTCTAGATAATAATGATTTACTGACCTAATACAAGTCTTACTATTTAGGGAAAAATGGTGGATTCATAGTTTTCCAAATGATATTTGCTTAGAAGTGAATATAACCAACCGGATTTCAGTTGTAACTCGGCTGTCCGAATTCCAATTCCGTCTCATTATCAGTTAACCCCCACATGCATTCTAAGCTTAAATCCCCTTACATCCCTAAGCGGTCACTCATCGAATTACTGAGCAAACCCGACCTTGTTTAACTTCGTTATAAGCATTGGAAATAATTTAAGATTTAAGACTTGGCCGAAGCTTGTCTAAATAACAAAGCCCATTCATAATTACTTCTCTGTATAGATTGTATTTTTTCCATTATTCGCCGTTCCTTTGTGTAATCACCACCGCGCAAGACACATGTTTTGAATAGAAATGTTCACAAACCTTAAACTTATATGTGTTCCTTATTGAACTGGCAATGCGGAGGCATTTATTAAGTTTTTATACATTGGACCTTTTAAGTGTTTTTGAAAAGCAAAACACCAAGAAAAGGAAAGAAAACAGCTTGAAATGCATAATTTGAATTATCATTTGAGTATGTTAAACGCGTGTATTCCCATTATCCAAACCCATTCTGGGTATGATGATAAACTACATCCGCTTCCTCGGTAAGACGATAAACTACATCCAGAAGCAAAGCCTCTGATCAGGTTCGATTTCTGTCGGAGGACAGAAATCGAACCTGTATCTTATACGGAACCGTCATATAGGCTGACGTGCATTCAGGCCGGTAAATGTTGTTTAATACTGTTTATTATAAACAGAGAATTTGCTTGAATATTTGTATCTATAAAAAGAATGTATGAACATAAAAATGTCTTAAAATATTTGTCGGACTTTTTGATTTCATAATGTGTGACGTTATATATATATATATATATATATATATATATATATAGCACAACCAAAAGATCTGGGTGAACCTTTCTTGGCTCGCTGAACAACGTGTTTTGTGAGACTCACTCGGAAGAAAATTTACCCATTCTAAAATCACTTTTTTATCAAAAATAAGCATACGATGAAGTAAAGCGTAAACCATATTAAACTATATTAATCATCAGACAAATCTCAGGGAACCCACTTAAGGATTTGTTTTCATTCGGCAGGAGTGTATCAGGTTTGTTCCAAACGCTGAGGTTTCTGTTTCGAGTTGAAGAACCACGGCTTCCCTCAATTTTATGACAAATTGTAACCGTGACACGCTAAATCGTGGAGGACCAGATATCCAGAATCGAAATTTTGGAACCACCAGCCGACTATCCGTTTTAAACAGGACCACCGAATACAAGCCCCAAGAGCCATACAAGGTAGTAGGTTAATGAATGAGAGCTATTTCCATATTCTGAATTTTTATGATGGCTTCAGAGTATATGTCATCAGTACATTCATTCCAAATCATAGTTTCTATTTTATAAATGTGTTATACCATAATAACTATTCTATTGTAATAGACTCTCCCACAGATAATAAGTAGTAGTAGCAGTAGCAGTGGCCAGTTGGGCTCAGTGGTGTTGAGTGAGTCAGTCGATATCGGACATTAAAGTATGAGCCCCACAGCTAGATTGCTGCATCATTAACTACTATTGCAAATTCCTAACGTTTTGTACGTCGAACCTAATTTAGGACGACTTAGTGAAATACAAGCCTCCACTATGAAAACTACTCTACAACAAAATGTTTATCGTATATTAAGTGACGGAAATACTTCGTTAGAAACGAAGAAAAGATTGCTGAATTGTTACGTGATATCTTTCCTCCTATATGACAGTGAATGCTGGACAATCTCCTCAAAGATGATGAAGAGACTTGAAGCAACAGAAATTTGGTTCTACAAAAAGATGCTGAGGATACCATGAATCGTACAACGAGAAAATCGAAACGAAAAGGAAACTTATACCTAACACCAGGAAGAGGCAGTTGAAACGTCTGGTGAGGTGTAATGAGGAAAACCGGCTTGGAAAATCTGATACTAACAGGACAGATTGAAGGTAAGAGGGACAGAGGAAAACAACGCGTAACATACTCGAAGTGCTTGAGTAATTGGATGGAGGAACAGCGTTAGGGGCAAATAACATAAAGAAAAAAACCAATTAAGAGCGATAAGTAACAGGAAGATGTAGAGGACCGTGATCGCCTACGCCCTGAATGGACACAGCACATAAACGAACGAATGTTGATTTTTGTTCAACATCATTCTTATCCCAACTATAAATGCCTATGTCAACAGGATAACCGAACCACCATCATTGTTTTATTCTGGAGCTGAAACAAAGAACGCTATATATAGTAGATCAGTGTGTGACGTGATTTTTATTTGACTATAGTTCATACAATACAAGACCGATGAGCCACTCAAGGGAGAGGGTTACGTAGTAAAGGGCGTGATACGTAACAGGTGAAAGATGGAAGATTAGGTGGATAGGGCGGATATATAGCGGTTGCCCTGGAATGAATAGGTTCAGAATAAAAACTTCGGGAAAAAAACAATGTGGGTCTCTATATTGTAGAAAGTAACAGTTTGGGGGAAAAACATTCAGAGAAGGATGCGTCATTTAGTTTAAGCTAATCTAAGATCTGTGGCATGTCCCACACAGGATGTTGGCAATTATGGCCCTCCACAATTTCCTGTCCTTTGTAGCGATTAATAAATGTTTTTGTTATTCTGTTAACCTTGTCCCGCTATCTATTTACGTTAAGTAGGTTACGCTTTGTTTTCCTCTTGTGCCTCGTGCTTTTAAACTGTCCTGTGAGTATCAGATTTTCCAAGCCCTCTTTCCTCATTATATGCGCTAGAAATTTCAACTGTCTCTTCCGGATGTTATGTATCAGAAATCCATTGGTTGTCAGAAATTCATAAAAATTCTTTTTTCTTTTTTTCTTTTTTTTTTTAAAAAGAAAGAAATTTCAAAAGATAATCGATGCGACTCTTTTTTTGTCGGGAACTGACTAATGGGTTAGTTGGCAACAATGTCTGATATTCAAGCGATATTATCAAAAGATGTGAAACAGGAACAAACGTTCGCGAATTGTTCAGATTGAAGACAGTTGTTTGAAACTTTCGAGCACCTGCTTTAGCCAGGCGTATCATCGACGTATGCCAATTTTGATGTCTCAAAGATACCCAGCAGAATCAATTACTACAAGCGAATTTGGCAAAGTATCATTTTTAAGTGTCTGTAAGTGTCTGTAAGGCTTTGAGTTCAGTTGTCGTCAACGTCATAATGCTTCTAAACTCATGTTATAACAAAATTATTCATTTCACTTGCATTAATAAGATTTTATGTAATATTGTTTTAAGAGACTGTTTATGATTTTCACTTGAATTACAAACATGATCAATACATATATATTTTATATACTCGACTCCCCCGTCGAATTCGACGTATGAGTGTCGAGCAGATCAGGAAACTGACAGCCCGACACCAGCACATGAGATTTGATTCCTCAATCCAGGCCG